GGGGCGATGTGGTCGAACGCTCCCGCGCGCGAGCGCGTGGAGCAGGCGAGCGACGTTGGGTGAGCGCGCGCGGGTTTTGGCGGGCGCGCGCGCGGACGCCGGGCGCAAACAGATTTCGTGCGCTCGGTCTCGTTCAAAGCAAGCTCTTGGCGCCGGCCGCTTGGGCGCCGCAGCGAGCGTCCTGGCCAGGGTGATTTCATGGGCCGGCTGCCCGCCATGCTCGGCTTCACGGGCCGGCGGCCCGCGCGGCGGGCGCCTCTGGCCGCCCAGCGGCGGCGCCTAGAGCTCGCGAAGTGCACGCCCATGGCCTGGACGAGGCGCTGCAAGGCGTCGGCATAGCCGGGTAAACGCAAATCCATCGACGTGTCGACCTTGAAGCACGCTCGAGGGCTGCCCCGCTGCTCGGCGGCCGCCGCGTCGTCTCCGGCTCCGTGGGCAAGGAGCACCTGCGCGACATCGAGAAGATGTCGGAGCAGCACGCGCTCTGCATCGACGCGACGCGCGTCGCGCCCGCGCACCTGAAGAGCCGGGGCAACCAGGTCGACCGCATGATGGACCAGCTCGGCAAGGCCGTCATCAACTGGACGGAGGTGCTGGCCCTCGTGGAGCCCACGGCGGCGATCACGCCGACGACGACCCACTTCGAGAACAAGACCATCGGCTGGATCGAGGAGTACGAGCAGAAGATCAAGGACCTCGACGAGTCCTTCCGCGGGTCCAACGTCTTCTCCATGGAGGTGGGCCACGACGACGCGCTCAAGATGCTCGACACGAACGAGAAGGTGTTCGTCGAGGAGACGAAGATCTTCGAGAAGAACGCGCACCTCTGCGTGGTCTTCGAGTTCCCGGAGAAGATCAACACGTCGCAGGAGATCCTGCAGAACGCGCTCAGCATCGGCGGCGTCGGCAACCTCAGCGCCTGCGCCGAGTGGGAGCACCCGTGCTCCACGCGCCGCCGCAGCGAGTGCCTCGCCTGGGACGCCGAGGAGTACGAGGTTGATGAGCAGAACGACCTGTTCATGTCCGAGTTCCTCGACGTCGCCGACGGCGTCACGGGCACGCGCAAGACGGACGTCGCCAACGCGTCGAGCGGCTACGCGTACAGCCTCGTCGGCGTCTCGCAGCCGCCGACGATCTACGTCGACGAGAGCAACTGCTCTGCGCGGCCCTTCAGCGACGACAACGACGAGCACGTCGTCGCCGACGTCGTGTCCGCGGGCGCGCTGCTGCCGCTCGGCTCGCGCGACGACGCGACGGGCGCGGGCCAGACGACGCGACGGCCGCGGGCCAGTTCCTCGGTCCGAACGGGACGGCCTTGTCCATCTACACGCTCTCGAGCTCGGCGTTCTCCGTCGCCTTCGACGAGGCTCTCGGCGACCAGCCGGCCATGCTCGCGGACGGCACGTACCTCGCGGGCGGCGTCGTCGCGACCGTCGTCGACGACGTCGTCCAGGGCTCCGCGGCGACGGGCATCGTCCTCGAGTCGCTCCACGCGGGCATGCCCCGCGGCGTCCGCGTCTCCGCGGGCAACAGCCAGGGCTAAGTCTATTAGGGGCCGCCGCGCGCGCGCGCGACGGCGCGCGATGGCGCGCGGCCTAAAAGCTGCGGGTCGTCTTGCCCTTCTTCCGCGGGCGGTCCGCGACGGACTTCCTCGGCGGCGACCGCTGGCGGAACCGCGACCGCGACCGCGACCGCGACCGCGACCGCGACCGGCCGGCCGGCGCGCGCGCGCGCGCGTGGGGGGCGCCCCGGTCGGAGGGCACATGATCATCGATCGTTGGCCCGTCGGCGCCGCCGACGGCGCCGAAATCGTGCGTGTTCGGGCCACAGGAGGCGCTCCGGAGCCCGCACGACGTCTCCCACGCCGATATCGCACCCGGGAGCCACGTCAACGCCTTCGAGGGCTTGCCCCGCGTACCCAACGCCTTCGAGGAGCGCCAGCCCAGCGTCTCCACCCAGAATCGCACCGCGGACTGCGTCCT